AAAGGGAGTCCCACCCAACCCATGAGAGACATAAGCCCCAGGAAGTGGTGCATTGTGGGTGGAGGGCAGGGGCTGTGGGCCAGCTCTGTAAGGAGGTTTAGGGTCAGGAGGGCCCAGGCAGTGACAGCTGGGGCTGAGCGGGGAGGTCTGGCCTGTGAGCCCAGAGCAGGAGGTAGAGACTGGCAGCCTGGGGCCCTGGCCATGGAACCCGCTGGGTGCTCTGCCCTCAGGCTCCAGGCTGGGGCTCTGGGTCTGGGGAGAAGAAGAGACGTGGAAACTGGAGGACCTTCACCTGTCCTTGGTTCCCTAGGATTGGGGATCCTGTGCCAGCTCTCCCATGAAGCACAGGGGCCACTAATCTCCCCAGTCCAGGATGGCTGGGCTGGGTTCACCCAGTGAGGCCTGAAAGAGGAAGATGGAGATGGAGAGACAGACAGAAGGAGAATGGAAGGGAGGGAGGGAGGGAGGGAAATCCCCCAAAGATATAAGATAAACTCTTGCAGAGACCCACACACCCCTCTTCAGGAGAGTCTGGGAGACTTAGGGAGTTACTTTTCTGAAGTCAAGAGGAGGGTGCATGGTCCTAAAGCACCCCATCTTGTTCAAAGGTCACTTCCAAAGTCCAGGCCCTCCCACGAGCAGGAAGAAAACCCGCATCTGCAGATAAGTCCCCCAGGGATCTGGCATGCTGCCTGTTCCATTGCCCAGATAAGGCAGATGACCTTTCGGGGAAACTGTGAGCCAGAATAGGGTCTGGCACAGAGAGCCCAATGTCCTGGGCGTGGCTTGCACACACACACACACACACACTGTCTTAATGGGGAAGTTAACACTGGATCCAAGCCACTCACCAGCCCGCCCTCATGTCCATCCTTGCCAGGCAGCCAGGGGCTCCAGCGGCCCCTGGCCAAGCTCATGGCCAGTCCTCAGGGTCCTCAGGCCAGGGGGGGGGGGAAGGGGGACTCCCACACAGCCCACCTACTCTGTATCACCCTCACCATTTCCAGAGTCCCTGGGCACCCTCAGGACCGCCAGGAAGGAGTACCTTCCTCCGGGGGTGGAACTCAGATGGCAGCTGTGTTTCCAACCAGCTCATCCAAGCTGCAGAACCTGTGTGAGCACTAGCTGCGGCCTGTGGAGCCCAGCTGGAGCACGCAGTGGGCCACAGCGGGGAGAGGGAATCAGGCTTTCCCCGGACAGATTTTTTTTAAAGAATCCTTGAGTGCTAGTGCTCACGCCTGTCATCCCAGCTACTCAGGTGGCTGAGATCTGAGGACTGAGGTTCGAAGCCAGCCGGGGCAGTAAAGTCTGTGAGACTCTCATCTCCAATTAACCAGCAATAAAAGAAAGAAAAGGCCAGAAGTAAAGAGGTGGCTCAAATGGTAGAGCACCGGCCTTGAGTGAAAAGGCTCAGGGACAGCGCCCAGGCCCTGAGTTCAAGGCCCAGAGTACCCTCACAGCCAGCCCTGGACACTGCTCCTCCAGGCACCCACAGCGCCCAAATGGCGCCCTCTAGTGGGAAGCTGACACCAGTGTTGGCAAAAGGTTGAAATTCTCTCCATTTTTATGACCAAGGTCAAATTCGGAGCCACCTGGTATCCTGGTTGGCTCTAATACCACAGCTCCCCTGTCGGTCTCAGCGGCCGGTGGCCCCTCAGAAGGGCAGCCTTGGACTCGCCCTGACCACTTTGTCCAACAGCTCTCTTCCTGTCGTCTTCAAGGCCACCCTCCTGGGATGCCCTGAGCACTTGCTAAGAATGCAGGTTTCAGAGCCAGGGGTGGTGCACATGCCTGTAATCCCAGGATTCTGGAGACTGAGGTAGGAGGATCATGAGATCAAAGTCTGCCAGGGCTACACAGAGACACTCTCTTTCAAAAAGAAGAGGAAAAAAAAATCAAAGGAATTCAGACTTAAGACTTCCACTCAGCCAGGTGCCAGTGCCTCGGACCTGTAATCCCAGCTACAAAGGTGGCTGAGTGAGATCTAAGGATCACAGTTCAAAGCCAGCCAGGTCGGGCGTGGAAGTGGCGCTGTGGCTCCAGTGGTAGAGCGCTAGCCTTGAGCTGAAGAGCTGAGGGACAGTGCCCAGGCCCAGAGTTCAGGCCCCATGACCAGACCCCAAAAATAAATAAATAAATAAATAAGCCAGCCAGGTCGGGAAAGTCCATGGGACTCATCTCCAATGAACCACCAAAAGCCCAGAAGTGGAGCTGTGGCTCAAGTGGTAGAGCTCAAGGGCAGCTAGTCATCCTGAACCCAAGCTGAGGCTCACATGCGTAGGGTGCCCACGTGCCACACACAAGTCCACCGACCAACAGATTCAGCCCTTCATGGCTGTGTGGCCCTCATGATAGGTCCAGTCCATCACATGGCAGATGGGGAAATTGAGGCCCATACCAAGAGGGTGAAGAGTTTTCGCGGGTCTTTCAGCCACTTGAAGGCTGCTTGAGAGCAAGAAGCAGGAGTCAGCGAGCACCCAGTCTCTCCTGACTCCTACACCTGTTCTCAGGGAAGGGCATCTCCGACATTCTGCTGGTTCATTGGAAATAAGACTCAAGGACTTTCATGCCCGGGCTGGCTTCGAACCGCAATCCTCAGATCTCAGCCTCCTGAGTAGCTAGGATTACAGGCGTGAGCCAATGGTGCTGACATTATCCTAACAGCTCCTAATGACACCGGGGACCCCACCGGAACCCTTTGCCCAGCCTGTCCGTCTTTCCGTCCCTTCTTCCTGGCAGC